ACACACACACACACACACACACACACACGGTCATAGAATCCCTCTTCCTTCTCCTCGACTGGACTCCTGGAGCTCAGCCTGGTGCTTGGCTGTGGATCTCTGCATTTGCTTCTGTCAGTCGCTGGATGAAGGCTCTATGATGACAGTTAGGGTAGTCACCGATCTGATTACCAGGTTAAGCCAGTTAAGGCACCCTCTCCACTATTTCTAGTAGTCTAAGCTGGGGTCATCCTTATGGATTCCTGGGAACTTTCCTAGCTCCAGGTTTCTCCCTATCCCCATGATGTCTCCCTCTATCAAGATATCTCTTTCATCGCTCTCCCACTCCATCCCTGTTCCAGCTCAACCATCCTGCTCCCTCATGTTCTCATCCCCTCCCTTCTATTGCCCCTCCTCACCCCCAGTTCACTCATGGAGATCTCCTCTGTTTCCTTCCTAGGGCAATCTAGGCATCCCTCTTAGGGTCCTCCTTGTTAGCTAGCTTCTCTGGAGCTGTGGGTTGTAGTGGCTATCCTTTGCCTTGCATCTAGTATCCACTTATACCATGTTTGTCTTTCTAAGTCTGGGTTACCTCACTCAGGATAATATGTTCTAGCTCCATACATTTGCCTGCAAATTTCATGATGTCATTATTTTTTACAGCTGAGTAGTACTCTGTTGTGTATATGTACACATTTTCTTTATCCATTCTTTGGTTGAGGGGCATCTAGGTTGCTTCCAGGTTCTGGATATTATGAATAATGATTACTATCTCAAAAAGATATAAAGCAAAGGATAACTAGGATACGATCCACAACCCCAGAGAAGCTAAGTAAAAAGGAGGACCCTAAGAGGGACACACATGGAGGGCCCCAGGAAGGGGAAATGGTTAAGATCTCCTGGGTAAACTGGCGGGGGCGGGAGGGGGCGGAGTAGAAGGGAAGGGATGGGGGATGGGAACATGAGGGACTGAGATGGCTGAGTGGAGGGAGGGATGGAGAGGGAGAGCAATGAAAGAAATATCTTGGTAGAGGGAACCATTAAGAGATTAGAGAGAAACCTGATGCTAGGGAAATCCCCAGGAATCCACAGGATGACACCAGCTAAGACTCCTAGCAATAATAGAGAGAGTGCCTGAACTTACCTTCCCTATAATTAGATTAGTGACTACCCTAATTGTCAACATAGAACCTACATCCAGTAACTGATGGAAGCAGATGCAGTGATCCACAACCAAGCACTGGGCTGAGCTCCTAGATTTCAGTGGACAGAAGGAGGAGGGATCACAGGAGCAAGTGAGGTCAAGATCATGATGGGGGAAAAACCACAGAGACAGCTGGCCCAAGCTGGTAGGAGCTCATGGACTCTGGCCTGTCAGCTGGGGAACATGCATGGGACTGAACTAGGCCCTCTGAATGTGGGTGATAGTTATGTGACTAGATCTGTTTGGGGAGCTCCTGGCAGTGGGACCAGGACTTATCCCGGGTGCATGAAATGGCTTTATGGAACACATTCCCTAGGGTGGGACACCTTGCTCAGCCTTGACAAAGGGGGGAGGGGCTTGGTCCTGCCTCAACTTAGTATGCCAGACATTGTTAACTCCCCAAGGGAGGCCTTACCCTCTCTGAGGAGTGGATGGGGGGTGAGAAGGGAGGAGATGTGGGGAGAAGGGAAAGGAGGGGGAACTGGGATTGGTATGTAAAATGAAAAACAAACTTAAAAAAAAAACAACTAAAAATGTCTTTAATAAAAGGCTAAAGATTAATTGGGCATAATTTTAAGTGTAAAAACTTTCAAGTTATTTGGTTGAGCTTGATACATTTTTTTCTGCCACCGTCTCTTAAGCTTTGTGTAGTCTCCAGCAATCACATACATGAACCTAGGAAAAGCAAAAGACTTCTCCATCTATTCATATCCACTCCTGTGTACTACAGATTTACTAAAGAAAAAAAGAAAGGAAAAAAAAACCACAAAAACCCCCAAAACAAAACAAAACAAAACAAAACTCTTCAAAAATAACACTAGTCTGTTTCTAGTTTTCAGAAACTTCACTCTTCAAAATGTCTCCCAAATACCCTAACATGATTTTAAGATAATTCACAAGGGCCTGGCTTTTTGATGCCACTCATCTTAGCATCCTACTTTTGAACACTGTACATCTCCTTATTGATTCATATCATTGGATACTCTCCCTTGCCAAATGAAAGAGAAAGAATTGCTTGTATGGTCCTCATTTTAAACATGAGGAACCTGAGATTGAGAGAATGATGGCCTCAACTTCATGAGTCAGGCATGGGACTGGTCCAGAACTGGAACTGCTGCTGATGCCTTGCGCTGTGATGGACATTTGTCACCCTTCAGTGGTTTTTCAAAGTCTTACTGTCTGTGGCACCACATACTTACTGTGTCTTAAACTCTTGGTCAGATTTTTTTTTATCCATGTGGTTATATACATAGAATTGTATGTATTAAAGTTTCTAAGGTTTTGTGTCACATCTCTGACAACAATTAGGTTGCAAGCTTGGTCTTCATCACTAACACAGTGCCTGCTTCACAATGTGCTCAGCAAGTATGCCAGAGGTGTTAGTTGTGACTATGGAGCAAAAATACCCGTATGTCTTTCCATTTGATGATTAGCTAATGCCAGTTTCTCCTCCTCCACATCCTTCTCTGTCTCCTCCCCTTTTATGCAGCAAGACTGGTAGACCTTGACTTCTTTCTACTAATAAGACTCAAGTTAAATAGTTATCTTGACCTTCAATTCAGAAATTCTGATTCTAACTCTGTAATATATTAGTATATATTACACAACACGGGAAATAGACAGACTATATTATAAGCTTTATTAGATTTCAAGGAGAGTTGGAAAAAATGGCAGGGTCTTAGCTCTAAACAGAAGATGACTTGGCACACAAGGGACTGAGGCAGAAGGATGGAAATTTGAGGCCAGTCTGGGCTACACAGCAAAACAAAACAAAACAAAACAAAACAAAACAAAACGGTGACATATAGATGTAATTCACGTGTAAAGGGCAGGAAGATCGACAGAACAAGACCAGCCTGGTCTATACGGTAAGACCTTGTCTCGGAGACAGGACAAAACAAGACCAAACAGCAACAGAAAACTTGACCTGGGTGATTTAAGTTACACACACGTGTACACACACACACACACACACACACACACACACACACACACACACACACACACGATAGTAAAGAGTTGGAAGGTAGTTCACAGGACAGCATGGGAGGCTGAATAAACAGCTCTTGGAAATGACAAAGCTTCACCAGCTTCTTTAGTTCTTAAGGTCAAGATCAGTCCCTGCCAATCCAATCCCTTCTCAGTTTAGCAGCTTCTATTGGGAGGAGAAGGTGATTGGCTGTACTGTGGTCATGTGACTTTCTCTGATGCAGATTTCCAGTCTGAACTAACAGAAGGTTGATTTCTCAATCGAACCAAAGTGTATAGTGTTGACTAGAAGGAAGGAAGAAACAATAGATTGCATATACTTTAAAGGAAAAAAAAAGGCTAGACTATAATTCCATTTATGTGATAAATTTTCCAGCTTTTCCAGGCCAAACTGGGGGTGAAGAACAGATTGGTGACTGATAGGGCAGCTCGAGGGAGTTCTCACGTAATGATTGTGTGAGAGGATTACATAAATATTTATGTATACTAAAAGTCATTGAGTTATAGACTAAAGCATCAATTTTGTTAAACGTAAGTAAAAATCATTTTAGTAAAACAAAAACACAGAATGCAAATAAGTTTCTTTAAATATCTCACCCTTTCTATCTTGAGCCAATTTATAATGTGTTTTGAAGATTCATGTCCCTGTTTTTCTTTTTTTTTTGGCAACAGTATTTGGAACTTCGATTTAATCGATTCATCCGTCTCTGTGGGACAATCCTCTTCATCGTTCAAACAGTAAGCACTGCTCCATTAATCTACTTTCTCTTCTGTGGTCTAAAACATTTTTGTCCTTGACACTGGATGAGCTTTGCTTGGGAAATACCTGGAAGATAAAATGGAGATGATTACAACACAAGGAAATGAAAAAAGAAACAAAACACAAAACCAAAACACACTTGTCATCACCAAGAATGAAACCTGAAGATCCCTAAACCGTGTTTCAGGGAAGACATTACTTCCTGGAAAAACAATGGTTTAAGTGAATTTAAATACTGTATTGGTCAAGGAATAGCTATGGAGTTTTAGGGAAATACCCTTTCTAGCCTTCCCCACCTGGACCAAAGTGAAAGTGGGTGCATTATTTAAATGACAGAAATATTTGAGGGAGCTGCATTCTCCCTCAAATTTTATTTTTATTAAATATTTAAATTTTATTAAATATTTAAATGAAAGGAGGAATTCTTATACAAGGAAAACAAGGTGAAGATTTCTTGGTCCTTTTGCAACTGATATTGCATAATATATATATTAATAACACACACACATATGCAATCTGACAAGAAGACTTTAGGAGGCAATTTTGTGTAAAAATGTACTTGAAAAATGAATTGGCATTCTTTAAGACCTTGAGCTCTTAGACCCAACTGGAGCAGTATCATTTAGTATAAAGGAGAGCCCAGACTTTAGAAGAGATTTTAAAGACACACGCACAATCCAGCCATTCAAGAATATGCAAACGTAGACGTATTGACGAACATGAATGGAAAGCAAAGGTTTGCCAAGTGGATAGTACAGACACGCACCACTGCATTGATGCATCCGTAGGAGGCTGCTGGAGGGTTTGCATGATCGTTACCCCATCGTTTGTCTCTCTCCCTCCACAGCTGAGCATTTGGGTCTGGATTTGGTAAGGGAGGTCAACAATTTTCACTTCTCCAGTCAAAAGCTGCTAAAGCATTTGCTCCTGAGAGATGTGAGACAGAGTGCCTTTCCCCACTGTTTGACTTGGTTTTATTTTATATCTCTGTACATTCCATCACATCTTAGCACTTGAAGTATGAAAGGCAGGTAGCTTTGGGGTCTGGTGGAGGGTCTGCTATTCTAAGGCAACTTGCTTGTTTGTATTAACTTTCTAGACAGTGGTTCTCAACCCGTGGTGGGAGGGTCGCATATCAGCTATCTGGCCTATCAGATATGTACATTATGATTCATAACTAGCAAAGTTACAGTTATGAAGTAGCAATGAAAATGATTTCATGATTGGGGGTCACCACAACACGAGGAGCTGTATCGAAGGGTCGCAGCGGTAGGAAGGTTGAGGACCACTGGTGATGAGCCTCTCTCTCTATGCTCGTGTTGAAAATGCCTTCATGAACAAGAAGTGGAGACAGTTGTTGGGAAGACAGCCCATCACATTTCAGATCTTCACATGGACAGACTAATGACTATGGGAACTAGCTCACTTCTTTTCAAAACAAGGGGAGCTCTAGCACATCCTTTCTGAAGGATTAGCCTCCATGTAGGATCATTAAGCATTCAGTTAGCATATAATATGTCTTTATAACGTTACTTGGAGTTCCCTGGTATAGAATGTATTTTTGAAGGGTGAATGCAATGAAGTGATATTTTGAGAAACAGATAATTTTTCTTAACTGTTGTACTCAAGGCCAATAAATATTTGTTGAATATATGAGTGGAAAGTGATTATATAAAATGATGGATTATAATATTTGAAAGGTTTCATAATTTTTTGGTGCAAATTGACACTTTTGTCTTAATTAGTTTAAAAGCCAGTTTTCAAAAATTTCACTTTGAAAAAAAAATCATTTTGGATGGTTGGTTTGTGGCTCCTCTCTAGATTGCTTATCACATTTGCCTAAGGCCCTGGATTACACCCCCAGTATTGAGAAAGAAAATGGTGATTAGCAGTATTCGAAGGCATATAATTAAGAGCCCAACCTATTATTCTTTCTTTGTAGTTAAGTATTTTAAATCTATGAAAATATAGTTTAAGCTTAAGGTGATGGATCAATAAACGTATTTTTTTTACTAGTCACCACACTTTAAAAAAATAGGTCTTCATAAAAGATTTTTGTGATGTTTAGCCACACTGTAGACAGAAAAGAAAAAAAATCAATTTTATTTAAGTATTTCCAAGTTATAATAGCACACTAAATATACTGAAAAGGATCAATTCATACTTGATTTTATAATTCTCATGTGTAATTCATTCATTTTATAGTTCATGTTATTCATTCTTTTTCTTCTCTCCCCACTAGATTCTGTATACTGGAATTGTTATTTATGCCCCTGCTCTGGCTTTGAATCAAGGTACATTTAAAGTGGCAATCGTGGAGCTCACAGTGTTGGGCTCATTTTTGCTAAAATTTATTCTCTTCTTGGGGAGACAGACATATGGAAAAGGACTTCTGGTAGTCCTTATGGGTTTTATGAGGGTGGTGGGATGGGCTTAGTGTCTATACTAGCTTCTTTGATGTCTTGATTAGATAGTTCAGAAATATCTCTCTATAGGCTGATAGGACAGACCTAGACCTTCCCGGGGACGCCATGGGAGTAAGAGCAGTTGCTTCTATATGGTATGCCCACCAGCCATTCTTTGTTTCTTCCCAACCCATGCCCCTCCCCACTGTGACTATTTCCTGGGGTCCACCCCTGTATTAATTTGCTTTCCATCGCTTCCATAAACACCGTGACCAACAGCAACTTGGGGAGGAAAGGGTTTGTTTTGGCTTATAGCTTACAGTCCATTATGAAGGGAAGTCAAGGCAGGAACTCAAGGCAGGAACCTGGAGGCAGGAAGTGAAGCAGAGGCCTTGGAGGGATGCTGCTTCCTGGCTTGCCGTCCATGGCTTGTTGAATGCTTTTTGTTTGTTTTTTTTTGCTTTTCTTATGAAAACCTACTGTATTATTTTTTAAATTTTAGCTCTGCTTTATTAGGGATTAATTTCCATGTAATCGAATGTGCCAACTCTAATACTGAGTTCAGTGAAAGGGACATATATTAACTCATGTAACCAATATCACAATTAAGATATCACATCAATGTTTTCTCTCATATTTCCTTAGAATTATTTCTTCCCTGGCTCTAGGCAACCCTGATGTGTTTCCCCCTCTTTTATTGGAAATAGATTCTTTTATTACATAGTATATCCTGATCACGATTTCCCTTCCATCCAATCCTCCTAGTTCCTTCCCTCTTCCCCTCCCATTTGGTCCACTCTGTCTCTCATTAGAAAACAGGCTTATAAGACATAATAATAAAATACAACAAAATGCCAGGCAGTGGTGGCACATGCCTTTAATCCCAGCTCTACAGAGACAAATGCAGGTCGATCTGGTTTGAAGCCAGCCTCGTCTACAGAGTGAGTTCCAGGACAGCCAGGACTACACACAGAGAAACCGTGTCTTGAAAAACCAACCAACCAAACAACCAAACAAACAGAAAACAAAACAAGCCCAAAATAAAATATCATAAAACAAAAACTATTGAGCAAGACAAACCAACAGAAGGAAAAGAGCCCAAGAGCAGGCACAAGAATCAGAGACCCACTCGTTCACACACTCAGGAATCCCATAAAAACACTAAACTGAAGGCCATAATATATACACAGAGGACCTGATGCAGACCAGTGCAGGCCCTGTGCATGCTGCCTCAGCCTCTGTGAGTTCATATGAGCTTTGATCATGCTGATTCAGAGGGATTTGTTGTGGTGTCCTCTATCCCTCCCGGCTCTCACATTTATTTTTTTTTTTGTCTCCTCTTCGATGGGGTTCCCTGAGCCCTGAGAGGACAGATTTGATGGAGACATCCCATTTAGGGCTGAGTGGTCCAAGGTCTCTCACTCTCTGCATAATATCAGGCTGTGGGTCTCTATATTTGTTCCCATTTACTGCAGGATAGCAGAGTATCATTAGGGGCCATTTTATCACTACTTTTTTTTTTTTTTTTTTTTTTTTTTTTTTTTTTAAGACTAGCAGTATTTGATTTGACCCTAGGTCCCTGGGCTATCGAGTCTCTTGGTTCCTGGTCACCCAAGCAGTGTCAGGTATCAGTTCCATCTCGTGGAGCGGGCCCTAAGTCAAATCAGACTCTGGTTGGCTAGTCCCACAAGCTCTGTGCCACTGTCGTATCTTGCAGCCAGGACACTATTGTAGATAAAAGGGTTTGCGGCTGGCTTGCTGTTATGTTTCTCTTTTGGTAGCTGTCTTAGTTAGGGTCTCTGTTGCTATGATGAAACACCGTGACCAAAAGGCAGGTTGGAGAGCAAAGGGTTTATTTGCGCTTACACGACCGCATTGTTGTTCATCACTGAAGGAAGGAAGGGCAGGAACTCAAACAGGGCAGGATCCTAGAGGTAGGAGCTGATGCAGAGGCCACAACGGGGAATTGCTCGCTGGCTTGCTCCCCATGGCTTGCTCAGCCTACCTTCTTATAGAACCCAGGACCAGCAGCCCAGGGATGGCACCCCCCACCATGGATCACTAAATGAGAGAATGCCTTAACTGCCGGATCTCAAGGAGGCATTCCTCAGCTGAGGCTCTTTCCTCTGATTGTATAGCTTTCGTCAAATTGACACAGAACCACCCAGAACAGTAGCGTGCAGAGTATATTCCTGTACCAAAGCTGCTGGCATGCAGGGGTGAAGGGTCTGTGTGGGCACCAGCTCCATTTCTCCGTGTTCCATGAGTTGTGTAGGTGTTGTCTGCAACAATGGACTCTTGCTATCCGTTTGTGGAGAGCAACCTATTGTCTTGGCAAAAGCAAGCCTGGGTTATTTGGGGAGTCCCATGGAACCCTTTGACCAACAACTCAATTGGATGTAACCCAATCCTGAGACTTCCTTTGATGACAAGAGATGTCCAGTTGGGGCTCTTTCTCCCCTATAATTTGGCAATTCCATTTAGATCACCTTCATATATATATAGTATGTATATTAACTATATTAGCTTTACATACTACCCTCAAATGCTCCTTAATTTTAGATGTCTTTCCATGTATTCCCTCCCTCAACTCTCTCTCCTCTCCCTCTCTACTTGATCCTTTCATTCTAGTCCCCCCATTCATAAATGTCTATTCTATTTCCCTTTCCTGATGAAATCTATTGGTACCCTTTAGTCCCTTACTCTATACCCTCCCTCTGTGGTTCTATGGATAGTAGCTTGGTTATCATTGTCTTAATGGCTAATACCTACATACAAGCAAATGCATACTATATTTGTCTTTCTGGATCTGGAATACCTCTCTCAGAATGATTTTTTTCTAGTTCTATCCATTTGCCTGGTAATTTCATGATGTCATTTTTTTTTTTTTTTTTTGGTGGGGGAGCAGGGCAAGGTAGCTCTCTGGTCTCTGGGACTCAGATGGGTAGGGCCTAGGCGCTAGAGACCTGATCTGTCAGTCTGGAGATGGGAGCTTACCTGTTCCCAGTTGGTGAAGTGTATACTTAGGATTCTGGTGATCTGGTTCCGTGGCTGAGCGGCGCCTTCTTCTGTGTTCTCAGGTCACGTTTTGCTAATTCGTTAACTCCTCAGCTGATCTTGTTTCCTCAGACTTCAAACTGTAGGATTCTGAATCCTCTCCCGGATGGATTTCAGCTGAGCAGGGTAGTCTCACCAACACCTCCAAGTTGTTGGGTTTCGCAGGATCGGCAGCTGGGCCCTGGGTTGGCCTCAGACAGAGTGTTCAGATCCGTTCTGGTCTCGTCCCATGGAGATGGCTTCTTCCCTGGGTGTTGGGATTAAAGGCATCCCAGTTCCAAGCTCTTGATTAAGAGCTTGTTTTCACTAACTCTTCAGTGGATAATAGCTCAGTTTCTGGTCTTTATTGCAACTGTGTCTCAGCCACCACCTGCTGCTGCGCCTGCCTGCCTCGATGTCATTTGTTTAAATAGCTGAGTAATACTCTATTGTGTAAATGCACCACATTTTCTTTATCCATTCTTTCATTGAGGAACACCTATGTTGTTTACAATTTCTGGCTGTTATAAATAGAGCAACAATGAACATGGTTAAGCAAGTGTTTCTGTGGTAGGATGAAGCATCCTGTCTTAGTTATGGTTTCTATTGCTGTGAAGAGACACTATGACCACAGCAACTCTTATAAAGGAAAACATTTAATTGGGGCTGGCTTACAGGTCAGAGGTTGAGTTCATTGTCACCATGGTGGGAAATGTGGTGACATGCAAGTAGACACGGTGCTGGAGAAGGAGCTGAAAGTGCTACATCTTGATCCACAGGCAACAGAAGGAGACTGTGTACTGCACTGGGCATAGCTTGAGCAGAATGAGACCTCAAAGCCCGCCTCCATAGTGACACACTTCCTCCAACAAGGTCATACCTCCTAACAGTGCCACTTCCTATGGGCCAATCATTCAAACACACGAGTCTATGGGGGCCATACCTGTTCAAACAACCACACATCCTTTGGGTATATGCCCAAGAGTGGTATAGCTGGATGTTGAGGTAGAGTCGTTCTCATCGTCCCGAGGGATTTCCATAGTGGCTGTGCAAGTTTACAGTCTCATCAACAGTGGATGAGTTTACAGTCTCACCAGCAGTGGATGAGTTTACAGTCTCACCAACAGTGGATGAGTTTACAGTCTCACCACCAACAGTGGATGAGTTTACAGTCTCACCAACAGTGGATGAGTTTACAGTTTCACCAGCAGTGGATGAGTTTACAGTCTCACCACCAACAGTGGATGAGTTTACAGTCTCACCACCAACAGTGGATGAGTTTACAGTCTCACCAACAGAGGATGAGTTTACAGTCTCACCACCAACAGTGGATGAGT